GATTTCCAGAACTTTCCAGGACCAGTAGCCCTTTTCCAGGACTTTCCAGTCCTGGAAAATGCCACAATAAAATTCCAGGACTTTCCAGGTTTTCCAAGACCCGTACGAACCCTGCTCCCCATAACACAACAAAGTGCCCTTCAGAAACATGTGTGACCTAAAGAAAGATCCAACAACTGGCAAATGCACAAATGTCACAAACCACAGGAGTTGTGTAGGGCGGTCAATTTCAACCACATTTTATAAAGATCTGTCAAATATTATCTCAAAGATGTCAACAATCAGCGATTTAACCAACCAGATTCTGTTACCATGGATTGGCAGCATCAATAGAATGTCTAAAGGCTCCCTCGCTTCATTCATGCTCACTGGGAGCCTGTTCGCTAGCTAAAATTTTATTGATTAAAATTGTCAATCATACAAAAAATTGGGGTTGGGGGGAGGGAAAGGGGCTTCAGAGGGGACGGGTCATCAGTGAAATATTTACAAATTGGGGAGGGCCCTAAACCCTCTTGTTTGCAGCCGGGGGAGGATCACACTTTTTTCGGCAAGGAAAAAGGTACCCCATGTTGCTTCTGTTAAAGTCAACTCTAGTTTGTTAGCAAAGATGCACACTCTTTGGAAAACTAAAACTTGAATGTACAAAGTTATCTGCCAAGATCAATCCAAATTATTTACAGCTGTCGAAAATCTCTCAACTAACACAATCATTGCTATCAACCCGCACCCGCTTTCGTCCATATTTTGACGGCAGTAGTGTTTCCACATACATGTAGGGTTGTGGTATAAAATCAGTCTCCTGTGACAATACACTTAAGCTACTCGCGCTTGAACTAACAACTTGGTCTGCCACATCACTTTGCAAGTCAGTTTTGACCTCAGAAAGTGATCAGGTCACTTCTCGCACACATTTCTCAACAGGGGCTGGCGAGGTTGTCTTGTTGATACCCCATAGAATTGTACAGCAAGATGCGTTTTGATCATTGTTTAGTGCTAAAATTTTCCTTCCTGAATCTCCCAGGAGCTGCTGGATTATCAGAACTCACAAAAGCCAACCTGGGACTTATTGCTTTCAAAGCCAAGCGAACTTCCCTCTGCCGCTTTCTTTCTTTCACAAAAAAGAAGTGAAAGCATTCCTTCTAGAGACAAGTTCTCCAAAATGACTGATAGAATTTTGGCAGAATACCATCAAAGAATTCAATCCCTTTGGGTTAAGGAAGCACCCTACAGGTCTTCATCTTTCCACTTCTATGGACTTGCACTGCCCCTTGTTCCCACATCTGATGTGCCATAGCCACAAGTTGCTCCATCTGACCTCAAGATATCATCGCATTCACCACAAGCACATTTCCCTCTTTCCATATCCCTGAAATATCCTTGCCCATCTTCAAGTCTTCACCATACAACTACACGCTGCCTCCATCTGCTTTTTGCACAGATGGAGCGACCAGAACACTGTTATATGAGTTAAACACTTCCGGTTAGTTCAATTCACTTCTGGTTATTTCTGTCTTGAAGGAACTGTTGAATATGCGGAGGGAGGGAGGGGAGGGTCAGATGTTTTTGTGTGAAGGGTCATGCATTTATCAATTCCTGGAAATGGGAGGGCCACAAAATCTTTCGCCAAAACTTTCTAAAATATCCTGGCCCATCCTCCTCCCAGTAGAAAATGTACCTTCCCTAAACAAAACATTATGAGTGTGTCATGGATTCTACCCCTTGATTATCCAATTCGAAGGTTACATCTTCAGAACTACGAAATTTGTCAATATCCAATTTAAAAAGGAATTCTCAGATCATAAACCATTTAGTTATTTCACCAACTATGTGATAAGATATGTAATCACACTAGAACTGGTTACAAAATGGTCAGAATGGAGAAGTATGATTCAACAATTTGTTTAATCCAACACTGAAATCAATGGAAAAAAGTCTTGCTACCAACTAATCACAACTAAGACAAAATTCGAGAGGAAAAAAAATGACCATTTCAACTTTTTGTATAATTAAGGGCGAAACAAATGCATTTGGTTCTGAAATTCACAAGGAAATCAACCATCCAAGATATTCTCTTTTTTAAAATGACCTCACCTTGGTAATTTTGATGGAGACTGTTGTACATCAGCCATAGTGTTTTCATGGAGGAAATCTGTCAACAAACCCAATGTCCTGCAGCAAGAATTTATAATTATTGCATGAGAAAGTGTAACATTGCACGACAAATTAATGCATCTTTAGAGTGAATAACTTTGTTCTTTACATTAAATGACTGGCTTTATGAAAAGGTGGTCAAAGAAAACTGCGTTCTTTTGCACTCAGTGAGCTACAACTTGGATTTAACGTCTCCTACAGGCCCAAGAATCACTTTAAGCAACCCAAAAAAGAGAGAAGAGAGCAAAAACAAACATTTGTACATTAATGTACATTTGTACATTTATTTCTTTTCTTTTCTTCTTATTACGTTTCATTTCAATTTGAAGGAGCAGACCTAAATCATGCGGTAAGGAATATGAAATCCAGATTACTGATTTACAGGAATCCAGAATCCTACTTGATATCAACAATGACAGCTAATATAATTCACTTAATTGTCCAATAAATAAATACAATATAAAAATAAGGCCTAACAAATTATTCACTCTGTTTTCAGCGGTTGGTTTCCTGGATGTTTTCAGTTCATTTTCCAGGCTGTTGTGTTGCATTGCGCTGTGTGGCATGGCATATGGCGTGGTGTGGTGTCTTTGCTTTGCTTTGCTGGGGATCTTTGTTTCAAGTTAGGTGAAATTTGCAGAAGCCATTTTTAAAACGGCCTCTTTATTATTACAGCCATAGTTTTTTTGTTGATGAAAAACCTTTTTTATTTTTAGATTCCAGTTTTCGGTTTCCTCATTTCTGAATTCCGCATTCTGGTTTTCTGGTTTTCTGGTTTTCTGGTTTTCCGGTTTTCCGATTTCATGTTTCCAGCCATGACCAAATCCACGAAATTTTGCTACTCCTGCGTTTTTTGCAATCGTTTAGACGTAGCTTAACCATCTATACGGGCTGTACAAGGATCTCCTATGATTTCGATCCAGCTGACAAAAATAATAACACGAGGCGACGCCACAATCACCATGAATGCGCGTTTCCGAGTCATTTCAGGCGAGATGGAGTCAAACGCATCTGTTTACATCCTAAAATCAAAGGGATTTCATAATTTACGTGGTGCATATTTAAAAACTGAATTGCATTATCTCTCAAACGTTTCTTGCTCACCTTGACTCCGACCACTTCAAAAGACACCACAGCCATTCCACCATTGCTGGCTGTGAACAGCCTAATCCGGGAATTCTTCACTTCAAGTGCAGCGCAATGCCTTGTGGTTATTGCCC